ATTGCTGAACTTAAGAAGAAGTTAGAAGAGTTGGATAAAGGAAGAGAGTTATAAAGCAATGAATTCAACAGGGTGAAAAAAGAGGTGAAAAAAGAGGTGAGATCTCACCACTTCACCTAAATTTAAATGGATGTTTTCATACGTGTGGGAGTGGTGATATCATTTATTTTTATTTTATTTTTTATTTTATTTTTTATTTTATTTTTATATAAATGACGAAAACTATTGAGATAACAAACTACAACGGTCATGAGTTCAAGAATTTGTTCTTCGTTCCTCGTGAAAATACATTCTATCAGATACGAGGGAGAAAGGGTAAAGTTAGTTTGAGCGTTTATGACTACAAGCATAATGGAAAGTTTATACAAGCATATGATACAAACGGTAAGCGTGTTTCATTAGCTTTGTCAAAACTTACAGGTATAAACTATGACAGTGATTTTGACCTATATGAAGAAGAAAGTGAGTCAGAAGATTATGAGCTGTTATATGAAGCACAGCAATGGGAGGAGTTGCAATACTTTTGTAAGTGAGAACGTTTATTTTTACAGTAGTGAAGTCGTTTGTGAAAACGTTAGTGAAGTGAAGTGGTTGGCGGCTTTATAAATATTTAAGGTTAAGTTGGTGTTGTCGTTTGTGTTGTAAAATATACGTTAACGGTTTTGTAAAGTGTCAAATTCACATATCATGGGTAAGGAGGCGCGCAGTGCCTCCGTACCCATGATATGTATACTAACTTACAAATGAGTGAAAACTAACTCATTAGAGTTGTGTTGCTTTGATTTCTCTCATCAGAAGATGAGAGATACCAGAACAAAACAACTCTAATCAAACTTTCTACACAACTCAGCACAGTATCAATGCAAAGTAATGCGTCTGTATCGTTAACAAGCAAAGTTGTTTCGGGTCCTTCCATTTTGGAAGAATTCGGAACAACTGTGCGAATTGATAGTGTAAACCCATATACATGAAAGCGTGCATGCATAAAGACAGGTATTGTCAGCAATGACTACCTGCCCAGCTATGAGTGATCAGAGAATTACCATCTCAGGCTTTTTGAGAACGTTTCAGCCAGGACCCTCGTATATTGACTGTGAGAAAGGCATCCTTTATCTGAAATAGATGCTTTTCCAACAATCAAATTCGAAGATCTTCGACGTTGTTGTAAAAAGAGAAGGAGAAGGAAAGAAGAGGAAGGAGAGGAAGAAGGAAAGGAAAAGAAGAAGAAGAAAAAAGAAAAAAAAGAAGGACATATTAAATATAATGCGCACTTAATAGTGCCGAGGCGGCGGAGCCGCCGAGGCGCGATTTTTTTGACCCTATATTACCGCACGGCAATGTTTTTCTCGATTTTGTACAGCCCTATAATCAATATACATAAATATATATTCTTATACTTCCACTAGATAGATTAATAAGATTATCTATATGATATTGCTATTAAAAGAGTTTATTATATAAAAAATTCCTCCAATTGGTGTTTCTTAACATATTATTGAGATGTAAAGAATATACTCATAGATATCTAATAGATTTGATATTCTTTATTCCCATAATGAAGATAATTTTTTAAAAAAATGGGTAAAAAAAGGGGTTGGCGTCCTAAGGCGTCCTAGTGTAAATTTCTCAAAATTGTGATATTTACATCACATTTTTGAGAGGTTTATGGGCGTCCTAAGGGAAAATTGAATAGCTAGGGCGTCCCGAATTTTCATTCTAAGATTTAAATATATTATATACTTAAGTATAATACAAGCAATATAAAAATTAAATTTTTATTATGTTAACTTATAAGAAATTTTTTTGAATTATCGTTGATTTATTGTAATCTTTCCAGGCTATACTTTTGAAATCAACTTTACCTGTCATACGCATTAATGTAGTAGATGTCCAGGTGTAGCTATTATATCCCAGCAACATTGGTATTTTATCATTGTAAGATATCAAAATGAAGCGCTTTTTCAGATATAATTTTTCGTAAATTTTTCAAAAATAAGATGGTAAAAAAGCCTCGACTTGCTCGAAAAATAACAATTTTTTTACTTGTAAAAATAACCCTTTTACAGCATGGGCAGCTATTCAATCACTATTTCTTTTTCTAAAAGTATATTTTTCAAAAAAAATTAAGATCAAATTCGACAATTTCTTGATGAAAGCAAAAATATTACACATACTTCTAGATGCATGGGATAAAATATGCAATTATTCAATCAATTCGCATGATTTGAAAAAAAAAATCTAAATTTGATAAAAATGTAGAAATTTTTTATTTTTAACTTGAGATTCGATTTTTTTGATCCAATTTGTGAATTTTTTTTGATCGGAATTTCAATTAATTTGTTGATCAAAAATGACCTCACAATGTTTGATCATAAGTGAAGTCATCTTCATGGGTATTTAGAAATTCCAAGAGAAATTGCTTATTTCTCGCAGATGTAATATCTGAGAAAATCGAATTTAAATATTCATAGAAACCCAAATCATTCTCCGGTTCGAATAATTCATCTGTTGCTTTTTCTGTTTTTTCTATGAATTTTAATAATTTGATTAATAAATCTTCATCAGGAAGAATTATTGCTGCATTTGTGATAAAATTCCATATTGAGGTAATATGGCAATAATTACATTTATAAAATGTAATTTTATCCAAAATTTTTTGGCAAATTCGCATAATAGCATTAATATTTGAAGCTGAGATTAAACCTGTGATTACTTCTGTAACTTTTGGAAAATCATCGCAATTTAATATCTCTTTATATTGAATTGAGAAATAAAAAAAATCAAATGGATTCATTTCTTCAATTTCAAGGAGATTGTAAAAATTGATAGAAGTGTTATTGCAACAAATTGTATTTGCAGCAAAAAATATCATTTGCTCGATTCCATTTTTGGAATAAATTTGCTGGAACAATGTTAAATTAAAACAGTTGCTTAATTTTTCTTCATTGTTTTCATAAAAAAGTAACAAGTTTGCAACTGAAATTTCAAAATTTTGATAATTGCCAGTTATTTCAGTAAATATATATATTTGCTTTTCTTCATCTAAAAATGGCAAATATTGATTTGCAATATTAACTAAAGTTTGGGATAAATTGTTCCAGTTTGATTTTACAATTTGTGAGCACATTATGTAATATGTAAATTTATCCGCTTTGTAGGAATTTAAAATTGTTTGTTGTTCTGTTTCAGTTAAATTACTGAATTTTTCAAGATTAATATTGTGATAAAAAATAGAATCCTTGAAACATTCTGATATCTTTTCAATGTTTAAAACGGATGCTAAAAAATGTAAAAGAACTTCATCAGTCACTGTGATTTTTTTGAAAAATTTATCCCAATTCAAGCATCCAATTGATCTTTCTGTCATTGTACTTATGCATTGATAAAGTTGATTTAATGAATCCGAAGAATAATCATTATGCTTGACTAGTTGAGTTAGTTGATACAGACTGTCGTCAGCCATTTTAAAAAAATGAATAAAATTGTATAGTAAATTATATTTGTGAAATTTGTGACGCTACATTCAATCTAAGACCAATATCTCAAAGAATTCCTCATTTAAGTATTACTTTTCATTGTTTTTTAAAAAATATCTTTGCTTATTTGTTCACTTTTTTGACATTTATTATATGCTTTTTATCATATTTCCGATGATATGAATATATATTCTATATAAGAATGACGCTACATTCAATCTAAGACCAATATCTCAAAGAATTCCTCATTTAAGTATTACTTTTCATTTTTGATTCAATTTTCGAACGGTTTTCGTAAATTTTGCATCATTTCATTTTTTAATGGGAAAATCATCTATATTTAATCAAAAAAGAGCAAACTTTACAGACGAAAATAAAATATTTATCAGGGAACAATCTGATAAATACCAAAAATCAACATCGAGAGATGAAAAAACGAATATAATCAAACAAGTTCTTCAATATTTTAATATTAAATACGCCGAAAATGAATCTAAAGCTGTCAGAAGATATTTTAGTTATATTGCAGTTAAAAATATTCCCGCAGTTACTGGAAAATATCCTGATACAATTGTTCGCAAAGATATGCTTTATTCGCATGATCATACAAATATTATTAATTCAAATAATATTGAACGTTACTACCGTTGCATCGATCATTCTTGTCAAGCACGTTATTTAGTTAAAATTGAGAACAGTTCAGTTTCCGAAGATTTACAAAAGGAACATATACCCGAATGCAGACAATTTAAAAAGTTACAAAATGAAAAAAATGATCTTCATAAATCAATGACTCTGACAGAAATATACAATAAGGCAATGGCAAAATTTTCTGAAGACAACGGCACTTTTCAGCAGATTAAAAAATTTATGACAGAACTTGCTGTTGGTACTGATGAAAACCCATTAATTAAAGATTCATTGGTCAGGGAAGTTTATAATAAGTCCAGAAAATTTTCTGTTGGAGAAAAAATTACAGACGATGAAATTGCTAATTTTTGTTTAATAAATGGCGAGCAGTTTTTCATTGGCCATGATTTTCAAGCAAATTGTGAGACGATGTTTTTTGGTTTTGAGAAGGCAATTCAATTTGCAAAAGAAGCCACAGATTTATTTTGCGATGGAACTTTTAAAATTACACCAAAACATTTTCAAAAAGGACAGATGCTAACAATTATGATTTGTGAACCTTCAACAAATCAATATCTACCACTTTTATTTATATTCATGAAAAACCGCACATTTGAATCTTATAAGAAGGCATTTGAATATATTTTTACTGTCAAGGGTATTCAATTTTCAAAGCTAATTCAAATTCATTGTGATTTTGAAAAGGGAATGATAGAGGCACTTCAACAAATTTTCCCTAAAGTCCGTATAATTGGATGCCTATTTCATTTCAAACAAGCTTTACACAGGAAACTTGTAGCACTTTATACAAAAAATTTCAATACTTTACAAAATTCTTTATTTAAGCTATATTCTATTACTCCATTCATGTCTCATGAAGAATTTGTACTTACAATGCATATAATTAATCAAAATAAAGTTGATTCGATCAAAGATTATATTGATTATTTCAACAAAGTTTGGTTGCCGCACTACAATTTAATATCTCAATATAATAATGCAACTGCAATATTCACTAATGATTGCCTCGAGAGTATGCATTCAGAATTTTCTTCGTTAAAACATCCAAACATTTATGAAGCTATTAAGAAGATATCTCAAATCCAATTAGATAAATATAACGCCATCAAAAATAACCAGAAGATCGAGCGCCATATAAAAACCGTTATCACTGATAGCTACAAAAATTATATTCTTGACTGCTTTCAAAAAGAACTTGAGAAAACAATTTTTTCTATCAAACAATACAACGTAAGTGATCTTTCTTTGGCTCAGAACGAGATTTCTCCATATGGTTCCATAGAATCGAGTTCATTGTTCGAAAATATTCCAGTTCATGATGCAGATATACTCAAATCGATCGATCTAACAGATAAAGATACAATGATCACTAAGTTTATTAATGAAAAAAGAGAAAAAATTATGGCATTATTTAATGAAACATTAAATCATCCAGATTTTAATTCATCCACTCCAATTCAAACTAATTTTGAGCAAGCCGATACAAATCAAGGTTCAGATGCTCCAATTCGCTCCGAAAATTCAAATATTGCAGACTCTACAGATTTAGAACCAGAAAATCAAAACCATCCTTCTACAAATCAAATGTCTAGTAATCTAGAACATAAGCTGGACCTTCTTGATCATATTGAAAAACAATTATCGAAAATGCGCTCGTTATTGGGAATTCTTCCTACTACAAATGCTATTGTTGGGCCGTCAAAACAAGTTTCAGTTAATAGCAAGCAAAATTCTGAAAAAAATAAGAAAAAATCTTCCATAACAACAAAATCAAACAATAAAAAACAAAATTCATCCGACAATCCTCCTAAACGTAAAGCTCCTATTTCGGAAAGGATTCTCAGCGATAATAACTTATATTTTCAAGTTCATCGAAAGAGATCGAAAAGCAAACGTTCCACATCTACAGAGAAAAAGAATTGATATATGAAGTCTAATTCCTTTTATAACTACTATATTTTTATTCTTATGACTAAAAAATAATATATTATTTAACAATTTTCATTTTTTTCTTTTAACAATTTCGTTTTATTTCCATTTATTGTTAAATGATTTTTAGCATACACCTTTCTTTGTTCATCTTCTAAATACAATTTATTTTTTCTTAGATATAATTCTATTCATTCAATTCGATCGTCATTTTTCAGTACATGATCGTAATTTTCAATTATTGATCGCGATTTTACTTCAGAATTTGTTCGCAATATTGCTTATCAAAATTATATCTCTATTCTCTCATTTCTGTTTAGTCAATATCATTACACTCCTATTGTCTAATAACATGCTATTAATTTTCTTAAAATTAAAAAAAAATATCAACTTTTAAAAACAGAAACTTAACATCCTTAGGTCAATGGATTTTGATGTGAGATACATTTAATCTGTTTTTCTTTTTTTATTTTAAATAATTGAATATTTATAGTTGTTATGGGTCTTACATCATGTAAAACGAATTTTCTTAAAGTAAATTTACTTTTTCTTCAATCTTTCTTACATATTTATTAAAAAAATTATCCAAAAAAAGATGTTTTAGAATGAAAAAAAATAGAAAAATCTTCATTTATAGTCTTTCTTGAATGTATACGTTTTGATTTTTTTTTTTTTAAAAAATTCAATTTCTAGAAAAATCGAGAAAAAATCATTTTCTTCTATTTTTAGGACGCCATACCCATTGAAATCTCCTCTCAGGACGCCATAAACTATTCATTTATGGTGTAAACTTCTCAAAAATTGAATAGTTTACATCAGGACGCCTTAGGACGCCAACCCTTTACGCGCCCAAAAAAATTGGCAAACCCAAATTTTAGCTAAAAGTGACAGGAAAAAAAACGTTTAGTATTAAAAAAAAGACCGATGAGAGCTTCGTTCGAAATATAGAGGGAACTGAGAATGCGCAACCATTCTCAGGGAATATTGGATGCTATTCCCGTTCCCTCTGTATGGAAAATTGAGGTTTTCAAAGGGAGTTAAAATAATATCAAATTTATACTAATTTACTTCAAAATACAAAAGTATTTGACAGCTAAAATTAGTTACTTTAGCAAGCCTATCAATACCCTTTTACGATTATTGTTACTTTTTCGAAATAAAAGTAAAAACAAATTTATACTAATTTACTTCAAAATACAAAAGTATTTGACAGCTAAAATTAGTTACTTTAGCAAGCCTATCAATACCCTTTTACGATTATTGCTACTTTTTCGAAATAAAATAAATTTATTATCAAAAACCTTTTTTTTCTTAGTAAAAATAAAAATGTTATTTTATATCAAGTTTTTATTCATAAATTTTTATAATGTTGTATAAATTTGAAGGTGGAAATCTGTAATAATTTTATCTTGAAAAGACTTGGCATTCTCAACAATGAATTGAGGGGTATTGCATCCAAATTCTGTAATTTGCGTGAGAATACTAAGCTTGATTTCCATTGGGATACTTAATTTCGAAAAATACTGGGTCATTCGTTTTTGAACCTTTGCTGCCTTGACAACTTTATCAAGTAGGTCATCTAAACCCAATTGAAGCGTATTTAAGTTTGCTGATGAGTTAACTATTAACGATTTAATTTTATCAGTGAGCATTATACATTTTTCTGTATCCAGTCTGATTGTAGACTTTTTTGGCTTTTTTTCAGATGGCAACGGATTTGGAATTTTGTCTCTGAGCCTTATATCTTGAGAAATTCTGTAATAAAATGAAGGAACGATAAAATCGATTAATTTCATCACAAATCGATCAAATCTCATGAAAATTGTTCCGCCAAAGTAGTAATATTTAATTTTTTTGTTAATCGATTCTGAAATGTTATTTGTGAGAGCTAAATTTTCATCTCTTTCAGCGGCTGTCCATCTTTCTTGGTTTGATATCCATTGATTTTGTATGTATTTTGAAAATTCTGGGAATTTTTCGGCTATTTCCAGAATTTTTTTGAACGTTGGTTCAATCCATTCTTTCTTGCCATTTCTGCCGTATGCAAGATAGTTCATTTTTGTATCTAATATCAATTTGTCTGAACTCTCAAATGCATAATCTTTCAAATTTTTTCTGAACGCCCTCATTACATGAACTGCACTCCAATGAAGGATAACTTCTGGAAAAGAGTTGATAATCGCATTTTCGATTTCTTGTGCACAATCTGACATAAAATATTTTGGTTTTACTTTTGCCCAGTTAAAAAATGCCTTGAGACAGAATGCAATATTTTCTGAAGTGTTTGGATAAACGACAAATTGAAAAATTGGGAATGCATGTGTATTTGGAAATTTGGCTGATATCATGTAAAACAACATTTTAAATTCAAGTAATGAATGGGTTGCATCAATAAAATGCTCTTTCACAATTTTGATTATGTCCAGAAATTTGAAAGAAGCATAATAAAAGATTAATTTCTTTGGTTTGTTGTAATTATCGACATCGAAATAAATTAAATTTTTTGGTGACTCTTGTTCTTTGATACCCTTAAATAATTGAGTTGACTTTATCTCATACCGAAATGGCTCACCAAAAAGGTGACATTTTTGGCGCCAATAATTTGATTTTTCTGATTCTTTCTATTTAGATATATTTATTTAATATTCATATTCCTTTATATTGCCTCATATTATTTCCCATTTTTAATCATATTATACAAATCTTTAATAATTTTTAATGTTTTGAGCTTCAAAATCTTGTTCTAACTATTTTCATTCATATATCCTAGAAAAAATTAAAAAGTTTTTTAGAAATAAAAATGTTTGTATGTAAAGTATTGAAAATATTCTAGATGAGAAGACATTCTCCAGAAGAGATTGATATTGATTGGCTTTGTGAAGCCATCACAAAATCAAATAATGGAGTTAAGTTAACTGATATTTGCGCGAAAGCTAAAATAAATCATGAAGGCAGAGTTATATATAATCATATTATCTTAAAGTATTCCTAGAAATTTCCAAAATTAACCGAAATATAACTGTACAGAATTACTATTTTCGAGATAAAATTCATATGGAAATACTAATTCATAACGCTTTATGTTATATAAAATTTAATTTATAAAAATTTCAAAATAAATCAAATTTAACACAATGAATTATAACTGCAATCGAGGTTTTTGACGATTGATTCTTACGAGAAGTTTTCCAAACTTTGAGTTAATGTCTTGACATTAACTCAAAGTTTGGAAGTCTAATAAGGGGAATTGTAGGCTATGAGGTACTGATTATATATCAGTGCCTCATAGCCTGCAATTCCCATTAGAAATCGGAGAAACTTTGTCCGCATAACTTATGATGCGGACAAAGTTTCTCCCATTTCTACTTAGAATGAAAGGGCAAGAGGTATATAGGTACACTATATATCTCTTGCCCTTTCCTTCTTACCTAAAGACTTCCAATCTTATTTTTTTTCCAATTTTTCCCCTAAATTTAAATCTTATATAATATAAATAAAATGCATAATATCAATCACAAAAATTAATGTTTATTTTTTTAATTAAAATTGCCGCGCAATTTAAGGTTTTCTGTCACTTTTTTGTTAGCCATTTCGGTACGAAACATAATTGAGTTGACTTGAATTGATTATCATCGTACTTTTGAATACCTTTGATCTTTTTATTTCCTTTTTCCTGAATTGTTTTCATTTGATCTGAAGATGCATTCAAAAAAGATGGCCTGTTAAGTGGATCATCCAGATCAAGTTTTTTGTCGCATTCAATTTGAGCCATTTTCGGATCACCCCCTGTTTTATAAAATTAATAAGTACCCGACGATAGCATTATGATAATGTGTGGTATTTCTTTTCTCATCTTTGATTTGATTGTGATTATGTGTTCCATTATATTCTGTTAGGATATATTCTTCATCATCCTTAGAAATGAGATACATGCTTCACATTTATCTGCACTGCACCTGAATTTTAATTTTGTTCCCCCTAAATTTGGATTTTTTTTAATTGATATGGACAACCTGCATGGCATTCGTTATCAATGACATCTTTCATAGCATCTATATAAGATAGCCTTTCTTTAAGTTCGCATGGTGCATCGATATGCATCAAAAAAATGAAATGAAATTTCAATATCAAAAAAAGCACAAAATTTGAAAAAATTCAGAAATCTCGGTTTCTGAAAGAAAATGGCCTCTTAAACTTTGTGCATATATTCATCTACAAGACACATTGTATCCATATATTATTTAGCCAACACAACTTATCTAGTATCGAGAAAATTCAAAAAAAGCACAAAATTTGAAAATTGCTCGGTTCTACATTCAAAATAAATTTCATTAATTTTTACGTACATATTAAGGTACTTATCTTCTACATATATAATCTTCATTAGATATATACATGATAAATAAAATTCATACCCTTCATTTCCAGGTATCATCGTCACTTTTATTTTGGTGGTAATTTTTGTTTAAATCATAACTCGATGAATATCGTGTTCTATACAAATAGCATCACTAGTTAGAGCGCATACTGAATATAAATACTTTGTACTTTTTATTTGTTTTTGATATCATGACCTAATGAGATAGTTTAAGGAAATAAAAGTCAAATTAAATAAATTAAATATTATTTTTATACAATGTAGTATCTATTTATCATATTTTTTATGGGGCGGCGACAAATTTGCCCAGCCAGTAAAGTATTCAATTTTTTTTGCATTTTTTTAAAGCTTCTTAACTTAAATCATGGAATGTCTCAAAGACAAAAGTAGCATACAGCATGTAAAGCTAAAGAAAGATAATCATAATTAATACCTTAATTTTTAATATTACGCATTTTTAGGTGCAAAATTTAAAAACATTCTAATACAATAGAGCAGTTTCCAAAAGTAGCATACAGCATGCAAAGCTAAAGAAAGATAATCATAATTAATACCTTTAAAGTTTAAAATCTTGATTTTTTTTAAAATCAAATATTTATAACTTTAATACATACAGCTTAAACCTTATACTTGTTTTCTCTTGTGAGAAAGCAATCTTACAAAGCTAACAATCCTAAAAAATAAAGAATTAAAATTTAATAATTTAATCTAACAAAATTTCTCTCTTTATCCTTTTGCACTCTTTATATGCAACTCAAATCCATCATATAATATTCCTATAATACTCTTGCCTCAAACAATGACGAACAAACTGCTATTCTCATTTAATTACAGACCAAATCTATTCAAATTTCTGAATTTTTAATTTTCATTTCAATTTCAAATGGAATTAGAAGAAGAAACTATCTTTACTGTTATGGATCTTTGTAAATTTGGAGTTAAACAAGAAATACAAGCACAGTATGGATATGGTGAACGTGTCAGGAAAGAAAGATCTCAGATTTCATTCCACTGCAAATATCCAAAATGTCCTGCACATTTTAATGTTGCAATCTTGGATCAAAATAAATACAAACTAATCAAAATAGTTGAAGAACATGATCATTCCGCCCCAAATGACAAAAGTCAATATTCGTCTGTCTTTTATCGCAAATATTTAGAACATTACTTCCAAACAGATGACAATCAAAGAGCGATAGCACAGCTAAATGCATTCAAAGATCTTGAAATTCCTCTTACAGGTCCGTCCATTCCAGAGATGTACGCTCAAAAACCACGTGCAATCAAACGATTTGCAGAGAGAATACATGCTCTTCAAACTAGATATTCTCCTGACGATGTTGTGTCATTGCAAATCTTTGTTCAGACAGTACAAGAAGAATCTCCAGATGATCTCATTGCATTTGAAGTCTCAGACAATAATATGTGTTTCTATTACGCGCCTTTTGAAGGCAAAGCTTATGCGCATAGTATCAAGACATTTCATATAGACAGCACCTATAAATTGTTGCGATCAAACATTCCATTGTATGCATTTACTGGCAAAATCAAAGATTTTCACATTTTCCCTTTTTTATATTTCTTTTGTCAACCAGACACTTATCAAAACATTCAAGTTTGCGTGTGCGCCTATCTCAGATGGGTAACAATTGAGCCAGAATACATTAGCATGGACTGTGCTCCACAGATAGCTCAAGCAATAGAAGAAAGCATTCCACAAGCTCAAATACTTTGGTGCGGAGAGTTAGTATACAAGTCTTGGGTACGGCGGCACTGCGTTCCACCTTACCCAATACTTGTGAATTTGACACTTTACAAAACTGTTAACGTATATTTTACAACACAAACGACAACACTAATTTAACCTTAAATATTTACAAAGCCGCCAACCACTTCACTAACGAACTCACTAATGTAAAAAATAAACGTTCTCACTATCGTTCTCACTAACGACTTCACTAATGTTCTCATAAATTTTCCTCAATATCTTCATCATCAGTGTTAACCCTATTGTAGTCATACTTGAAGCCATAAACTTTCTCTAACTTCTTAACGTACAATTTACATAACTTACCTTCGTCATCGTATGGTTTAATGATATAACTATTTCTATCTTTATACACAGTCAATGAAAAGTCAACTGGTCTCGGATGTATTTGAAAGAACATGTTATGCTCAGGAAGGAAGAATAAATGTTTAAATGTATGTTTGTTATACTGTGGAATTCGAATGAGTTGCTTTTGTTCTGTCATTTACATCCAAATAAAAAATTTCAGTAAACTTAAAAATAAAATAAAAAATTAATGATATCACCACCCGCACACGTATGAAAACATAGCACAAAAATAAATTTAGGGTAGAAGGTTAGATCTAACCCGATATCTAACCTCTTTTCTAACCTGTTGAATTCATTGCTTTATAACTCTCTTCCTTGGTTTCTTTTTAGTTGCTTTCTTCACGTCTGTCTCCAACTTGACTGTCTTTCTTCTTCGTCCGTAATGATACCAGTTACTTCCACCAGTCAATGGGTCAAATGGTCTTTCGTAAGGATTTCCATACATTCCATAGGGACCATACGGAAGAACTACTGGTGGAGAAGAAACATTTTCTTTAGTTCCATCGAATCTATTTAAATGCATTGTTTCACCTTTCATCTGGTCATTAAAGTCTTTTGCGTGTTTTGCAAACTCATCGTCCTTTCCTAAAGCATTTTCTGACTCAGTCGCAACCAAATTGGATGCTTTATTTATGAGCCCTATTTTATTTAATCTTAACTTCTTTGCAACCCAGCCTCCAATCTTTCCTTTATTTGCATCTAATGTCTTCGAAACCCTTCCTCCACTCATTTTATTTACTGCGTCATAAGCCCCAAGTGCTTTTGCTCCAAATGCTAATGCTTTTGTTCCCATTGCGCCTAAAGCTGTCCAAGCTACCATTTACACCATATTAAAATCATCTCTCTTCAATATTATCTCATAAAAGTTCTCGTTACTGGAGAAAGTCAATGAAACATAAACATTCTCATTCATAAACTTCTTTCTTATCTCATCTATACGCTTCAAAATGTCTGAACAATTGCTAACATCTTCTACAACAGTTATTTCATCATGAATGACCTTCAAGAACAAGCTCATTTAATATGCTATTAAAATCATCTCAATAATGAGTCCATCCTTTCCATCTTTAGGTAGCACAACATCTTTCATTGAAGAAGGTTCGACAAGTCTTATGTTAAACTTACTGACAAAGTTTGTTATACTATAATGCTTCGGCGGCGAATACATGTAGTTTGAAAGACATAATATAGATTCTTCAGCAAATTCACTTATACTGGATTTTATAACAATGTTCTCACGAGACCAAATACCACCAATTGACAATCTTGTAAGCAATCCTGCTGAACCTTCTACTGTAAACGTCGATGGTAACATTCCACGAAGGTCATCTATTGACATCTTTGAGTCACTGAATTTAAATATTTTCTTAAAGCAATCGTCATTATCTAACCATGCAATAGCTTTGAAGTTTTCATTCGAATATACATCTGCTTCATTAAATGTAAATCCTGACTTCTTTGCAGAGACGACTTTAAAATCTATTGAGTTTGTTTCAAAATTATATGCTATGGTAACTTCTGAAGGTAATGGATGTCCTTTGCAGTAAGTTGTTCTCTCACTACCGTTTGAAGCTTTGTATTAAAAACTTTCATGTCATCTCCTGTGTCTAGGTTCACATACACAGCAACAGGGAAAACTATCTTGCTTCTTTGTTTCATCATTATATCTCAAAACATTAAAGTTCTTCAATAATATTGTTCTTCCTGCTGGAATACTTCGAACCTGTCTGATTTCAATAGCTTTCTCACCTCCTACATACTCTACCCAGTGTCTTGGATATTCATAAGTATACTGACTTTCTTGAATTTTGGTTGGTTTCATCATAACATGTTCATAGTATATCTTTATACTCTTGTCAGTTAGACTCGGTGCTATGTTCTGAATATTTCTGACTTGCATTTTTAATGGAGATAAAATGAAGCATTTAATACATGATGTAGATGAAGACATGAATGAAACTACAGACAAACTTAACTCTTCTCTCATTCTTCCTTTCAGTAAGGACTATGAGTTCTGTTCAAATGGTGTGTATTTCTATTGTGGAAAGATGGGTTCAGGTAAGACATTCAACCTCATTCGTCATATACTCATAACAGAGCGTTTAGGAAACGACTCTTACTATGACCAAATCATTATATCAGCAACTTCAGACTCTATGGATTCAACAGCGAAAACATTTATGTCAAAAGTTCAAGCCTCTGTCGTTAAAGTTCCAGACAGTGAACTCATTGAATTTCTTCAACGTTACATTCGACGTAAGAGAAAATATTATGCCATCGTTGAATTTATACAGTCAGGAATGCAAAAGACTTCAGAAGAGATGGAAAGAATTATTGAAAACACCACTTACGTCAGTACTCAGGAGTTTACGATATGAAACGACTGACAAACTACATTCTGTCAAAACTTTCAAAATACCCCTTCAAAAAGTATCCTTCAAATACTCTGCTCGTTTGTGACGACTTCGCCGGAAAAGGTTTAGTGTCAAAAGACTCACCATTAGCTAACATCATAACTAAAGTCAGACATTACCACTTAACTGTAGCAATACTTATGCAAACATGGCGTTTCCTTGCTTTAAACATAAAACGTCTCATAACTGACTTCGTTATCTTTCAAGGTTTCTCACGCTATGATATTGAACTCATTTGGAAACAGTCAGGTATAACATTACCTTTTGAAGAAATTTGGGAAGCATATAAGTCTCTCATCTCTCCTCGTTCATACCTTGAGATTCATATCATGACTAATACCATTAAAGTCAAAAATATTCCATGGGAACGACCAACATTGTTTTAAAGTTTAACCTTCAATTGACTGATGATGGTAAACAAATTCCATGCATCTCTGTCGCCATTTCTGTTAATATTTTTGCTGTCATTCATATCATCCACTTCCCCATCCGTTAGCTTTTGAGGATATGTGTTAGAATAGCTGTTCTTAAATGAAGGCTTTTCACCTTTGAGAGCATAAACTCTATAACTTTCTGCATACTTTATGTTTGAACCTCCTGAGCCATCATTGACATAAATTTTTATAGGCTTCCACCCTTTGTTCATATTCCTGCTTCTTCCCTTAGCTCTTTTGTTCAGTAGTTCTACATCTTTATACACAGCACCTGTCTCAGTGAATTCAACAATATTTTCATTCGTTAGCTTTACATTCAAACCCTTGTCGAGTATATTGTTCATTTCATACATATAAAAGGTTTTTATTCTATATGAAATGAGAAGCAAATCCATCTTAGCTGGTGCCGTTAATGTTCCAATTGAACCAACATCAAATGTTGACTCACGAACGACAAACAATATTGTCATAAAGAACTATAGTTCAGAGTGTTTGAAAGAAAAAGAACCAGAACTTAAGTCGGGACCTTCGGTCTTGGCGCATGGCGCCGTGAATTTAAACTCAGCTTCAAACGCTAACGCTACATCAGATGTTAAGTTAGAGTATCCACCACTGGACCAAATTCTTTCAAGAGAAGCCAACGACAACCCTTACACAAATGTTCAAACAAATCCTTCAGATAACGTAGACCATTACCTTCTTCAGTTATACCAAACAATTTTACTCAAAGACGATAAGAAGCTTTTGACAAATCTTATAAGCAAGAACCAAATAATTCTAACAAAGGAGGACCTTGAAAATGTTATCTCACGAATAACAGGGAAACAATGTGTCATTGACTATCTCGACCCTGAAATCGAATGCTGTGGTCAAACTCCACTATTCATGAAAATAGGTAACATCCGCATCATTGAAACACCAGGTACTCCAGGAGTTGAGTTTAAGTATAAATATTCGAACGAGTATACAAAACTTTCAACAGAATATAAACTTTGCTTGAAATATTTAGTAAATTAAAGCAATTTGTAATATCTATCCAAAACTTCTTCAACAGTATCGAACTCATCTTCATAATGCAAACCTAATCTTATTGACTTGGTGCAGTTTTCACTAACACAATATAGCGCTTTGCGCTCGGCGCCTTTGACGCCTTTTTCTGTTCTCTTGACTGACATAACTAACTCATTTGTTTCATCAAACAGCAACAACCAAAGTTCATGACCTAATACATAACATTCATACTTTATATTTTTAGCTCTGAGTTCTCTTGTAAGCTGTTGCATTTAATATTTTCTAAAAAGTCAACTTCAACAGTCATTCGCACTGGTGCCTTCAGTTCTACAGGCTCGCCTGAAAGTCAACTAGTCTGAATTGCATGTCTTTCAAATTATGAGGACTAATGCGAACCCATTTACCTAAATGAGTTGCTATGACAGGAACGTTTGGAATGAACATTGAATTGACTGCATAACAGAAGGATTTATATTCTACTGAACCTTTACTATTAACTCCTGAAATACCTGTGACATTAGCTATTTTTGACTCAATGTACAAACAATTGCCATAACATACGTATGGAACAGATTTCATCTCAATCGTTTTGTCAACACTTTTCAAAGGAAATGTCATATGGTATGCTCCCAAAAGAAGTTGTACTCTATGACTCATTCTTGGTATCTTAAACTCCTTCGCATAACTGAACTTCAAAACTCCTGCAATAAGTTTAACATTCATTAAGTTTTCTTCGTTATCCTTGTTTATTGTAGTATTTATGAGAGCATTTAACACTCCAGCTAATGTTTCCATCTTATATTCTACATTATTGTGAAATCTTATTTCGTGCTTCTTTCCATCTATTTCAAGCTCCATGAAATCTGTTTCATCTGTTATAACGAATGAAGCGATAGTATTGAAGTCAACCATTCTGAATGCAAGTGGCTCATTCTGTAGACCTAAGTTTGTTTGTAGCTTTACTGTCCCGTATTCGTTTGGGTCTGTACTTTGCAAATAGAACAACATTTTATTCTCATTAAAATATGAGTATAGCTGCATATGCGTATGAAGCTGACAGAGCTAAACGTTTATATTTTGGTCAATACTCTCTCACACTTACTGACAAATATATTGTTATCAGTGATGGAAATACCGAGAAATACATAACATGGAAGGACTATGAAAAGTTTGACCCTATTTTAACTCCATGTACAATGCCATTCATTGTAAATGGTGAAGTTGTCATGAAGAACGACACAACAGTATATAAGTCTGTATATGAAGCATTAGAATATATGTTGAATTATAATCCCGAAAGATTTGACCCAAGCACTACACCATGTGCAATGCCTTTTATTAAGGACGGTGAAATCGTAAGAGTTCCGGATTCAACGGTTTATACTGCTGTTCAAAACAGTTTACAAAACATTTTAGCGAATATCTTTAATTCAGAAACTACAGAAATAAAATTACCATATATAACAGATGCTAAAGAAATTAAATCAAAAACGACAACATTATTTACGTCACTTAATGATTTAATGACTTATATCATTAATATTCCTGCACCAACTACAGCATTTGATCCAAACTCGACGGTTTGCAGTGTACCTTTCATAAAGTCGCAAAGCGACCAGGGCGAAGCCCATGACAGTTCATTAATTACTTTAAGGGATTCAACAGTTAATGAATCATTAAAGGCGTCATTAATGAAAATCATTGATTTTAACTCATTCACGAATACATATAATTCATTCATTAATGTTTCATATGCTTCTAAAGAAGGTGAGCCAAAAACTATCGATAAAGCGGTGTATGAAATAAAAGCATCAACGACGAAATTGAATTCGTTAACTTTTGACGGTGATAGTTTCGTTAATGACATAACATCGGGGAAAACAATTTTAACGAAAGAATATTTAAAATCTCATGTTAGTGAGTTCGTTGAAATTGAAAAAGAAGGTGGAATTAAGTTCGATCCACTGAATTTCATTTTCAGCTTAGCGAATGCGGGTGTTAGTTTCGCTGAATGGACAACTATACAGAGTGAAATAAATGCAATATGGACGTTTTTGGGGTCAAAAGCGGGAATGGGTGAGCTTGTAAATGCTGCAAGAACATTAGGTGAAACAGGAAATTTTGTAGATGGTTTTAAAAGACTTGTTTCAAATGTTTTAACAAACACAAAGAAATTATTTAGATATACCATACATAACGGACGGATTTTCGAACAGGTAGCAACAAACCCTCCGGTTATGGCTGCGTTGATGATGGTTAGAGATATAAAACCACGTAACGACGGGAACGAAGAACATGAACAACAGGATACTGGTCGGGTTATTCAAGACATTAAAAACGTGTATCCTGAAGTTATTGATTTATTTAGAGGAGTTAATGATTCAATTTCAAAACATTCTATAACCCTCGATGAAGAGAATAAATTAACAGATTATATATTCGTCATTATTGCAGAACTAATGAAGAGAATAAATGAAAAAGGAATTGGTGATATCATTAATGTCAGCGATGTAATGATGAAAAGAAATTTTGACTCATTATTACAAAACCGAAAACAGAATATAGTCTTTATGACGTAATTACCGAATTAATGAAAAAGATTAATGATAATAAGAGTTCTGGCGGAAGAGTTGAATTAGAAGTGAATGATGTTAATGAGAAATTAGCCGAAAAAGCAGATAAAAACCACGTTCATTATATAACTTCAGACGAACAGATTATAACGGACTACCATGGATATTTAACACGAAGTGATGAAGCGAAGACAAAAAATGTTAATGAAAGAAGATATAAATACATTCGTGCTAAAGGTTATGACATAAGCTGTACTGTACAGTATGATGTAGCTAAAGCACCAGAAGCATTTGGTTATACCGGTGAAATTTATGCCTCTACTTTCAATGTTAATGGTGTATTAGTTGAACCAAGATTTACTTTGAGAGTTAAGTCAAAAATAACGTTTGAAGATGCTATTAAAAGTAAAGCTGACAAAGATGAACTTGACGCAACGAACAAAGTTTTGAAATCTCATAAACACAACATCTCCGATATAAATGAACTTCAAACTTCTTTAGACAGTAAAGCCGACAAGAACCATACACATAAATCCTTCACTACTGTTAGAGCAGACGACATAATATTGAACTTTGACCTTGGTTCAAGTGCACCTTTAGAGAATCCAAGTACAAGCGTAAAAGATACACTAAACTCCTTAAATAGTAAATGTATGAACATTGAAGGTCATGTCAGAAACTTTGAAACACATGAACTACCAGCAATGTTAGATAAGAAAGCAGATAAGAACCATACACATGATTTCTTCACAACTGTTGGTATAGAAAGTATTGAAGGAACGGTTGAAGGAACTGGTGGGGATGCATTATATTGGAAACCTCCTAACTTTCCACAAGGTTTAACATCGGAGGAAAACATAACGACGATGAAATACATTAGATGTAGAAATGTTTATGTCATGGAGGATGAAAATAATGTTAAATTCACTGCTCAAGATTTATATGATAAGAAAGCTGACAAGAACCATACACATAAATCCTTCACTACTGTTAGAGCAGACGACATAATATTGAACTTTGACCTTGGTTCAAGTGCACCATTAGAAAATCCAAGTACAAGCGTAAAAGATACTCTTAACAATTTAGATAAGAGTTGCAGGAATACCGAAGATCATGTCAGAAACTTTGAAGCATATGAACTACCAGCAATGTTAGATAAGAAAGCTGACAAAACAGAGCTTCAAACATTAAAGACAGAAATACTTCAAACATTATATCCTATAGGTTCTATTTATACGTCAATGAACTCAACAAATCCAGCAACAGTTCTGGGTTTCGGTACGTGGGAACAGATTGTAGATAAATTCTTATACTGTGCTAGATATTCAAAGCAAACAGGAGGTTCGAAGAAAATTACTGAAGCAAACCTTCCACCGCACACTCATACAGGAACGACAAACTTTTCTGGCGACCATAGCCACTCATTAAGAGACCACCCATTATACAACTCAGAGTATGAAGCTGGCAATGACGTTTTATCTCCATCTTATAACAATGCAGCAAAAAAGACTTTTCGACCAACTGAACCAGGAGGAAATCATTCACATACTTTCACAACAAATCCAACAGGCTTGGGTGCAGATTACATGCCACCATTTGTGACTGTATTTGCATGGTACCGCGTTCAATGAACGCGCTTGAGCCTAGAATAAAATCTTTATTTTTACATAAATGAGCTTGAAAGAAGTATTCGAACAACATCCATGGAGGTCATTTAAGAAATTCAATGAAGCTGCAAAGAGTTGGGGATTTACTAACAGAGCTGAAGTGAAAAGGTTCTTTGACAAAAATGTTGTACATCAAACAAAAATAAACCCTTACGACTACTTTTTACCAATTTACTCCAACACTCCTGACACATACCAATTTGACACTCTCATTCAAAGCAGAAAAGGAGGCCATAAACCATTCCTCATATTCATAAATGTTAACACTCGTAAAGCATATGCATATCCAATGAAAAATAAAGGAACTCGTGAAGTGTTAAGAGTTTTACAAAAGTTTGTAGCAGAACATAGCCCAAGTACTTTAACATCAGACCAAGACAGTGCATACCTCAGCAATGAAATCACAGAATTTCTCATTAAGCATAACATAACTCACTACACTACTGAAGACCATAACCATAACATACTTGGCATCATAAACCGCTTCATAAGGACTCTCAGAGATTTAAATCAAGAGCGAGACTTTACCGAAGAAACAATGAAACATTTTCTCGAAGTATATAATTCCTCAACACATTCTACAACAGGACATACACCAAATTCAATGACACAACAACAAGAAGAAAAGTATATACAAAAGAAACGAAGCCAAACACAAAATATCAGAAATTCAAAACAATTTACCCTCATTCCTGGTACAAAAGTTCGTGTAGTTCTTGACGACAAACCATTGACAAAGAAACGTTTAAGGTTAAGTCGAAATTATTATATCGTAGACTCTACGCAAGGTAATGGATATCTTATAAAAGCTGCTGACGACTCCATAGCATTTTACCCTCGTCATAAATTAGTCGAAAGTAGTAATGGCAAACTTGCTGAAACCATTGACGAAGCAAAGCGAGGAGTGGTTATTGAAATACTTGGCTACAACACAAACGATGACACTTATAAAGTAAGATATGAAGGAGGCGTTGAAGATGTTATACCATCTAAGAACTTGAGAGAGTCAAAGCCAACTCATCTGGGACCATTAGAGTGGGAGTACTGGAAAGACAAAAATATGCCAGAAAGAATAAGAAAATTCTTCTAAACTTTTTCATTAGATGTAAATCAGACATGAATGAGAACAGTCATGGAATTATTAATGTTTTCATAAATTTACACCAAAAATAATGTTTATGTTAGAATGTTAGATCTAACACGTTTTCTAACCACTTTTCTAACATGGTCTAAAACTCTCGAAAATCATGAATTTTTGACATTTCCTTATGAAAGAAAAATAACGCTAATTTTTCTAAGAAAAATTTTTATCTTGTATGTAAAGATATGATTTCAACAATTCAAACTACAGCACCAAACTCGTTAGTCATGAATCCAACATCTATGTTAGTAGAGATGAAAAGCTTCATTCCTTCTTCATATACTTTCGAAACAAAAATCCAGAAGATAAAGCAAGAACTTTTAACAAGTAATTTAGACTGTAGTGCGAAAGATGAAACAAATGAACAGTATCTTTATGAAATGCAGGACATTATTGACCATTTACCCAAATTGCCTGAAATCCAACAACAAAAACTAACTATTCCTGAATTCGACGAAATTGAAGTCAAAACAACTGACTCAGTAGAAATAAAGAAGTTCATACGTAAAGTAAATTATGAATTCCTTGGTTTTCATTGCAACCATAAAGTTATGGACAAAGATTGCGACATGGTTTATAAGAATGTTTCTGACATATATAAATCTGAAGAATTTAAGACCTACGATAACTTTGTTTCATTAGTTGCTGAATGTGTTTGGGAAATAAGAGATAAAGATAGAAGAGGCAAAGTATGGAACGAACAACTAAGACCCGCTATGTTTGAGATGAAGAGAGCAATTGACGCCTTAGTTGTTTTAGCAGGTCAAATTTCAATGTATAACGCAAAAATGAACCCGCAATGTTCAAAATGTAAGGCAGCGATGAGGAAATATAACTACTCCGTCAAAGAGATAGAAAGAATGAGAAACGACTATGCAGATTTAAAGAAAGAAGTAGAAAAGCCAGCAGAAGATAAAATGGACATGTTAGCATTTCTGAACAAAAATTATCCAACTGCTGACGATTTCCTTCTATCTGACGTCAAGAAGAAATATAAAGAAACCTTCGGCATTGTTAAAACATTCGATGTACTAAAAGAAGAAATAGAAGCTACAAAACTGTTTAAAGTCATGAACCATCGCAACATATACCATGTAAAACGCTTGTAAATAGTTATGTTAGAAAAGAGGTTAGAAAACGTGTTAGATCTAACATGCTAACATAAACATTATTTTTGCTGAATTCAGCACAAAATTCTGAGTAAAATGACATATGGCACGTGTCAAACCGTTGAGTTTTCACAAATTTTAAAAATTGCTGCGGAAAGTTCGTCAAAAAAGTGAAGGTTCCCGACGGTTTCAAACCGCCATACTTTACATGAAGATAGTTTACAATGTCAACTAAATATCATGTACGATAGAAACGGTTATGTAAAGTTTACATTTTGTAAAGTTTTGTCCTGATTCAAGACAAGTCTTGTATTTTTTCAGAACAAGTCTTGTATTTTTTCAGAACAAGTCTTGTATTTTTTCAAGACAAATCTTGTCCTGATTCAGAACAAGTCTTGCACTTTTTCAGGAAATCCTATCGTCTAACTTTACAAATGTCACTTTTTCGACATGATTGCATTTTGGTCGGGGAACAACTTTCTCCCATTTTGTCACTTTTTTCTATCGTCGTGTTTTGTCACTTTTCCCTCAGGGTGTGTGTCAGAAAATATCCAAAATCTTTATAGCCTCGTATCTCCTTCAATTCTTGACGGCTTGACATGTATGACACACCATTCAATTCAGAATTATGTGCTGAATCTTATGACCTTCATTTGTTCGTGACTTCTTTTCACATATGTAACCCTGAATTTTTAACATTTCTTTAACACAGAAAAATAAAGTTAGTTTTATTTTTATTTATTTTTTTATTTTGTATGTAAAGACAGTAATGTCAACATTAGAGAACACAACAACAGTTATAGTCCATGAAGCCATAAATGAAGAATACGAGTGGGTTCAGTTTAACAAACAACTCCGTCTCATTCGTTCGGTCAAAGACGATATGTACCAAATGCAAAGTATTTTGACAGCATGTTTTGCTCCAGACACTAAACACGCAGACGACTGGTTCAAAAACCAAAGCACACAAGAACTTTTGAGTGAAATTTCTCTAGACCGACTTTTTTCGGTCTTGCATAAAACACATGAAAATCGTAAAAATTTGCCAATAAATTTAAGAGGTTATTATGTTCATAGACTTTTAGTAAATGCAGTTGCAATGTGGGCTTCTCCTCGTTATGCATGGCATGTTTACAGACTTCTTGACGAAATTCATAGACAAGAACGTGGAGAGATGGAAAAGAAACTTCAAGCAAAAGATGAAGTCATTGAATCCAAAGACAAAAGCATACAGAAAAGAATACCACGTTCGGTACCAAAAGGAAAGGAAAAGAGTTATAAGTATATGATATATACTGAAGAGTTGGAGAAAGAAGAAGATAGAGATATGGTTATGTTGCATTTAGTCAGAAGAAACAACAAAAGCTTTTATGACCTTGCTAAGATTTACAAATCTGACAGAAACTGGTTCTATCGTGAAAACTTACCGATTTCAATGACACCGAATGAGCAAATAAAGGAAATTGTCAAAAATACTCTTCCTCAAACACACTATGACATCAAAGGTTGCACAATACTTACATTCAAAGAAGACTTAACATTACTGAAGGAAAAAATAACAGAATATTTCGATAACTTCAAAGAGGAAGAATAAAAAAATCTAAGCTAATTTTATTTTTTTTATAAAATTTTATCTCATATGAAAGAACATGAATTTAGAATATTCGGAACTCATGACAGAAGAAGAGAACGAACAACATGTAAAAGATTATGCAAAATTTCTGAAGACATACAAAGCATTTAAACAATATCTAAATGCTTCTAAAGATTATGCAAAATTTCTGAAGGTATATAAAGCTTATGAAAAAGCGTATGAAAAGTTTATACATTGGGGAATTGTTGTAAAATATCGATATGAAGACTAACCAAAAATATATTTTTGCTTAAATGACGTCAGGGTCAATTTCTTCAACCATTTCACTTCCTTCGTCAATGTCAATAGAAGCTTCTTCAACCTTTGGTAAGAACTTTTGTATAACATCTTTGTTCGTTATTGTTTTCAGAGATGAAGAATAATATTTCACATTTGTTTCACCCTTCTTATATTCTTTCTGTTCGGAAAGATTCATAGCAATACTGAAGAAGTCAATGTTGGAGTTCTTTATAATAGTATAATGAGTATCTTTGACATTCACGAAGAAACCTTTTGTTTCAAAACTACTGCTAACTCTTGTGAAGTATAACGTTTGCGGTCAATGACAATAGCTAATGGTCTGACATACTGACCAAACTTAGATTCTTTCACAAACTTCTTGTTAAAGATAACATTAACGTTTGAAGCATTATTGAACTCATTCTTGATGACAGTAGCGAGAGCATTGTATGAAAAGAACTTGCAATCTTGCATGTGTTTCATTAAAATAAAAATATTAAATTATTTTGAAAAATAACTTAAAAAAATCTAATCTAATTTTTTCAAAAATATTTTTTTTATTTCCTACTAAAGATGTATCGGAAGTTGTCTAAGTTAGAACACTCGGAAATAAAACAACTTCTTACAGAAGCTAATATAGATGTTGCAAAGCATTACACAACAAACAAAAAGGCACTCGCTGACATCCTCAATGACTATAATGGTGAAATAACTTATGATAGAATTCATGAGTTCATAAAGCCGCAACGCGGCGAGGACGAAGTCCATGCAAGAGCATTTCCTTTAAATGACGTTGCTATTGACTTATATCATAGACGTTCAATACCTCATGAAGTAAGAA